GGCCTTTCCTGCCGGCCGGGTGCCAGAGGGCACCGTGCACAGCTCAGCGGTGTGCCGGGCTGCTGCTGTGGGCACTGTCCTCCCCGACAGCAATGTTAGATGTATTATGTTCTCAGTTAATATTACTTTGAAATTTATAATATCCATGAAAATATTATCTCTGTACTTAAATCCCTTCGTTTAATTGAATAGAGCTATCATTATCCAGAGCTTGTTTATGTATTGCTGCCTGCAAAATAGTCAATTTTCCAGACTGAGATGATGAATATGAGCACCAAAGATATTTTGTAATTTAATTTTAATAACTATGACTTATTATTATTTTAATAACCATAAATAATATTTATTTTTTTGAAAAAGAAAAGTTGCAGTGCTTTGCACAAAACCTTGGAGGGTTATAATACAGTGGGGTTGTGTTACCGCTTATTATTATTTATTCTGTTGTCAGGTGTGCACTTTGCTGTGAGGAGGAGCTGCTATGGGTTTGGGTTTTTTAGATCTGAACACTGTTGATGTCCTTTTGCTTCCACTAACAGCTCTGGAAACTGAGTGAATGACTGAATTTTTCCTTATGTTATTCCCCCCTGAAGTCTAGAGGCACAGGCACTCTGGGACTTGTAAGGACACTGTGTTCCGGGCTGTTGCATTAGTCCTGCTGCCTTTGCTGCAGCCTGTGTTGCCAAGTCCAGGTTTTGGCCCAAGGGCACTGTCCCTGCAGCCCAGGGCGGCTCCAGGGCCCTGCCACCCCCAGCCTGGCCTGGGAAGGCAGGACCCATTCCTGTGCCTTGTCCTTCTGGCCACAGCCCCGTGTGGGACTGTCCCCCACCCCATCCCCATCCCGGCTTTCCCAGCTTGCTGGGTGCACCCGTGACACTTTGCCCCAGCCCTGATTGCCTTGTTTGGCCTGTTGTGTACCTCTTAAAGAAACTTAACCGTTTTGTGAGGATCTGGGGCTCGGCATGACTCAGCGGGACAGCACCCCCTTACCTGCTCACCCAGGGCTGGGTTTGGCTACCAGTCTGGCGTTGAATCCTGAGGTCAGTTTTGGGCCTCTCACTGCGGGAAAGACACTGAGGGGCTGGAGCGTGTCCAGAGAAAGGAATGGAGCTGGGGAAGGGTCTGGAGCACAATTCCTGTGAGGAGTGGCTGAGGGAGCTGGGGGTGTTCAGCCTGGAGAAGAAGAGGCTCAGGGGAGACATTATTGCTCTCTATAACTCCCTGAAAGGAGGGTGTAGAGAGGGGGGGAGTTGGTCTCCCAAGTGACAGGCGGCAACGGCCTCGAGTTGCACCAGGGGAGGTTCAGATGGTATATTAGGTAAAATGTCTTCACGGAAAGGGCTGTCAGGCATTGGAATGGGCTGCCCAGGGAGGGGGGGGAGTCACCATCCCTGGAGGCATTTAAAAGCCCGTGGATGTGGTGCTTAGGGACACGGTTTAGCGGTGGACTTGGCAGTGCTGGATTAACAGTTGGCCTTGATGGGTTTAAAGGTCTTTTACCAACCTAAACGATTCTATGATTTTTCCAGAAGTGTCCTCGGTTCAGCGTTGTGGGCGAAGCATCAGTGGCACCTCCAAGGCCTGATGGATCCCAGCTACAGACAGATAGGCTTGCCTGGCCAAAGGGACTCTTTCCTCTGGTGAAAAGATCAGTGGGCTCTTTATTTTTTTTTTCCTTTACAGTTTTATTTACAAAATGTATTAAAACTCTTTGTACAACACCTCATTAAAATGAGGCTCAGTAATTGATGCCCACACATGCAGTTTATGCTTTTACAGCCATTAGTTTGCTTGGCAATTTTTCTGCTCACTGAAGTGCAGTTTCAACAACCAAAAATTGGAACTTAAAAAAAAAAAAAAAAGGAAAAAAGAAAAAAGAAAGAACCCCCTAACCCCCCAAAAGCAAAACAAATGAAAAAAATATACCAAAACAAATCATTGTGAGACTAGTGCCGAACTTCCAATAGCTTGAAGTTGGTAGCCGGAATTGGTAAGCACTCAACACGTTTTGTTTTAGCTTTACATGCAAGTTTAAAAAATATCGAACCATTTACCAAACTCCTTTCACTGGTGTGAAGCCTCCACTCTTAAAAATTGATTTGATAAACATACATCTTTTATACAGCTTTTAAGAAAAATGTTTGTTTTAAATACAACTCATAACCACACAGCTTTTGCTCGCCCTTGCTGGGGACGTGATCGCGTTCAGAAGTTGAAAACAAAGAAAATAAATCACAGCTTCATGAAAAGAAAAGGAAAACAACATTTTTTTTTGTCAATATCTTGTTAAAAACTCGAACAATAAATTATTCTCCTATGAGCTTTTAAAATGATTTTATATTACATTTTGTTGGAAGTACTTATTTGTAACAAGACTTTGCTCGTATAATCTTTTTCTTTGTTGTTTTTTTTTTTTTTTTTAATCTATTAAAAGTTCAAATCTATCATCAGCAAACTAAACGCCTAAGGGTCAGACTGGTTTAAATGAGTTTCTTTTTCATTGTATGTTACTGATGAAATAAAACTCTATAGTAAACTACAGAAAATACATATTGTCGATTAGAGGTAATTAGTATGCAGATATTCCATTGAACATTTCCCATGTGATTGACAATATGTTTAAAGGGTTGTTTTTTTTTTTTGTCTTTTGCCTTTTTTTTTTTTTTTTAAGATGAAGTTAAGTAGTTCCCAGGCAGAGGTTCAAGGCTGAATCGCTGCTGCTGCCTACGACGTCGGATGTGAGTAATAGCGAGCCCCTACCTGTAGCAGTGTCACTGGAGCGCGGGGTCCTCTTTACAGAGAGGGCAAGGACGGGAGCATCCCCTCACCAGCAGCCATGAAACAAGAGTTGGCAGGAGCTGATATAATATAACAGTACTAGCAGGAGTCATGTTAGATTGCTTAATATTACTCTGGAACTGCGGCTCTAATCTGAGTTACTATCCTCCTTCCTCACTTCCGTTTTGTAACGACCATTACTGAGAAGCGTTAGCTGCGCACAGTGCTAGTTGTGGGAGAACTGGGGTGAAGCGGAAGCAGGGCTGGGACAAACTAACCTGTGCTTCTCTTGCTTCATTGCTTGATATTAAACAGTGAATTAAAATGCAAATGCAGAGCAAGAAAAGAGATATATGGTCTGAACCTAAACAGCAAGTAGCTTTTCTTTTTCTTTGTTGTTTTTTAAAGCCACCCAATGTTATTTTAATAAAGCACCTGTAGGTATGCCTGATGATAGACAAAAAGAATAAGGAATGCACTATTTTCTGCCCGCACTTTAGCTATGTTGTCAAGAAATTAATTTACTGGTCTGGAAGCAACACATGAAGTTCCACAGATTACTTTCTTTTGGATTTACAGATTCACAATCATTGACCTTAACGGGTTCTAATGCAGAGATTCTTTTTCTTCAAGTGTTACAACTTTTACTGCTATACAGAATTGCTCAAATTAGCTGGAGATTTTAAAGTGGCTTGGGGGGGGAAAAAAAAAAATCACACCACCAGTAAGTAAATACTGAAAACATCTTGACATCAGCTCATACAAGCAGTGACAGGCCGGTCCATGTTGGCACGCAGCAGATTTCTGAGGCTTTGTGTCAGGAGGCGTTTCATAATTTGATACGATTGGGGTGGTTCATGAAACCGGCTGCGGTTTGCTTTCAGGACACAAGTTCGTTTTCTGTGCAGTGGTATCAAAGAATGGCTTTTGTTGCACTGATTTTTTTTTTACAAGGATTTTTTTCACATACTAATATCTTGTTACCAGTCCTTTCCTCGTTCTCTTTTCTCCTTTTCTTCTATTTTCATTTTCTTTTCTTTTTTCTTTTCTTTTTCTCTTTTCTCCTTTTCTCTTTTCTTTTTCTTTTCTTTTCTTTCTTTTCTCTTTTCTTTTCTTTTTTTTCTTTTTCTTCTATTCCCTTCCTTTTTCTTCTTTCAAGCAAAGCAAGAATATTTCGGTGATGGTTTGCATTGTTGTGAGTCTCAGAGTCTTCCATAAGGCACTGAAGGAAAAAAGATCAGTTTTTCCTATTAAAAGTACATTGCACCATCATCAACGCGTGTCATGCCTGACACCTCGGAGAGAGTACGACTGGCTCAGGTGGTCCGAATCCATGAAGTAGCCACATTCTCTGCTGCTTCTCCTCTTGCGTGCTGTCAGGGTGAGGATCTATAATAAAACCAAAAAGATTTAATCACTGCCCGGCAGCAAGGGGCAGGGAAGCTCAGCCTGGGGAGAGGCACAAGCTGTGGGCGATGGGCTAACCAGGTTTTTCCAGAGCGGTTTTTCAGGAATTCAACTCTACTTTTCAGGCTTTAGAAATCACAATTTCTAGTGTGAACTTTCTTGTTCTCTTGTAGATTTTTTTTTGAGGCTTCCTAAAAGCACTTACCTGACCTGATTATAGCTTAAAAGTAAAGGGGAAGAGGTCATTAGCAAGAGAGATGCAAATTCTGATTATAGTACTTTTTAAAGCAATTAACAAAATACTTTTATAGGTGCTGAACTAGCACAATGCTGGAGAGAGGAGTTACTCACTTCAGCATGAAGCCAGCTATCACTGTTTGCAATATAGGATGGTACCGAGCTTACTTCTGTGCACTTATACGCTAAGATGGCCACCTGATGATGTTTCCAAAGCCCTTTTGCAGCAGTCTGCTGATGCACGCCACAAAATACCACACACAGCTTAACAAAACCCCAAAACAACAGAAAGAAAGAAAACCCAGAGGGTTTTAGTTCCCGGCCCGTAGCCGTACCCCTAGATTTTCACACTTTCTGTGCCGTACACGTTGTAGCCTTCTCTGTACGTAGCGTAATTCTGGGTGTTGGTGGCGGGAGCGGGTTTGAAGTTCTGCGTGTTCTTGGTGAGTTTCATTCGCTTGGACTCTGCCCGCGACTTGTAGCAGAACTCGATCAGTGCCACCATCATGGCGAGCCCGAGGCCTCCGACAAGGATATAGAAAACCCCAGCCACATTGCTCAGGCTCAGAGCGCTCGTCTTGTCCTAAGAGAAACGAGCCACGCCGTTAGTTTTGCTGCGAGGAGTGGACAGACAGACACACAACAGGCTACTGTGCACTTAGTCCTAGCTGGAACAGCTACACTCATGGCGTTTAGTGTCCCACTCACGGATCGGGGCTGTCCCCCCCGGCCCCGGGCAGCCCAGGGCTGCGCAGCAGTGACTGCCCTGTCTCCCACCCTGCGGCGGGCAAAACCCCGGCCGGCTCTGAGGTGATGAGACTGTTAGGGCCGTTGACTTCCCCAGGCCCTCGGGGCCGGTCTGCGGCCGAGCATCTCTGGTGGCAAAGGCAGAGAAAGCTCGGATGGGGAAAGCAGTGGCTGTGTAAAACAGCAGGTTTTACAGGAGGCCATTATAGAAGTAGAAAAACCCAAACCACTACACGCTTCGTTGTGGCGAAGGTAGATAAAATTTTTGAGATGCTGCTAAACTTATCTGCCTCTTTTCAACAGTTGGCAAACAAAAAACACCCTAGGAAGGTGGTCAGTTACTATAAGGTCAAGCAGCAGAGCCCTAAGCTAAGGTAGCACCTTTGGTGACTGAGGGAGACTGAGTTACTGGATAAAACCAGTCACTGTAACACAAAAAATGATGGCTGGGGGTACTTTCCTTCAGTACATGTCAGATGGGGGAGAAGGCTTTCATTTTTAAAAACAGGATTCTGTAACGTTTTTAAATTAAATGGAGCTGCAACCCTTTTGCTGCTGCGTGGGCTGGCCGGCTGGGCACAGGGAGTGATGGTGGCAGGCATGGCTGTGCCCTGGGAAGACACCGGCTGCCGGAGCTGGTTTATGAGTGTCTCCAGGGACAGCAAAGCTTGCATGTGCTCAGAATAAAATACCATCTCCCTTGTAGGTGTCTACATTACACGAGCAGTTTGGCTAGATGCAGTTGTAGCAAACAGCCTGCCATTTAAACTAAAGATGTTACTCATTTACACTTCTTTTCAATTACAGTTTCCTTCTGCAGCTGCTGTGCAGTCAGATGTCCCATGATCCCAAATTTGTCTCATACAACAGCTGCAGGGCTGTGCCCTAAGCAACTTCCAGTCCAGCTGAAACCAATGAATTTTTTATTATTGCCTTCACTGGAACTTGAAATTGTCCTCCGACACTGAGAGGGGGACTTCCAAACTACAGTTTTCTGTTTGAATGATTATAGAGGGCATTTCCAAAGGCACCAGGGCACTTGACTGCAACTGATTTCAGCTGGAGCTGGATTTCTCCTCCTCTTGGTGCCTTTGAAAATGTTTACTCCAGCAAGCCCAGCACTTCTACAGTGTTTTTCTCCTCAACTGCTCTTTAAGCATTAAAACCCAAAAAATCCTCAATGTTTTCCTTTAGCTGAATGGTGTAAATAAGTATTTCCTGCAATTTAAGTGTGCAGCTACCGGGTTGATCCACCCGTCACCACAGTGGTGGGATCTCCACTGGGGTCTGCAGTGGTCCTGCACGAGGAGCTGGGGGTGACTGGCCCTGCAGCATGGTTGGCGTGGGACAGGGCAGTACAGCAGCAAAATGGTTCAAAGCAGAATAAAGAAGAGCATACAATATTTATGTAGGGAGTTACCAATAGTACATCTAGATTTTTTTTTTTTTAAATCAAATTTGAAAATGAATTGGGAAATAGGGCAGGGGAGGGCATATTTCATGGGTCTGTCCTGAAATTGTCCACCCTTAGCAAGCGTGTGACTGTTTCCCAAACTGACATGTAGAGAATCTAAGTCACAATTTTGAAACAAAAATGTGGGTTTTTTTCAGTAAAACTAAAGATAAGGAAAGATGCTGGCCTGAATAATACACATTGACTGTGCCGAAACTTGCAACTTTAAATGAAGATACCAGCTTGGGAGGCTTTGGGGGCTTCTCTTTCCATGTTTTTCTAGCAAAATACTCAAATAGTAAAACATACTTACAACTACAGTCTGTTACTGCATAAAAGAAAAATGCTGCCACGTTCAGAGACTTAATTATTTTTTTCTATTCTTTTCTTTCAACCTTCAAAATGTAAATATCAACTTTTGAAAGTCATTCTTTGTATAAACAAACAGTGGGTCAAAATGTGATTGCTAATCAGTACAAAAAGACCTTCAGCGACTGACCTTACTTCCGGAGTCCTTGGCTCCACATTCACCCTTATCGTACCACCATTTGTTTTTCAGCTTGTCTAAGATGCCTTGTTCACTGAGTTTCAATACTGCAAGGTTTACAGGAGTTCTTCACGTGGGAAATAACATAAATAACATTATATTATGTTATTTTATGTTATTCAATCTTTAAACTACTTTAAAACTATACAAAGCGATAAAGCAGGGTTCCTGGCCACAAAGTATTTACACTGCAGGCAACTGGATCATCCCCGTAAGTTAAGGCTAGAGCAACGCTACATTACCAGGTCCTGCCCATATCGCTTTGAGTAATCGGCACTCACTGTTAAATGAAGGCGGCAGAAACAAAGCAAGTCCAATTTCCCAGTTTGGTGCAGCCCCAGGCACTCACAGTAGCTTTACGGGTTACGGTGGGTTTGATCTAGCCGGACCCCTCGTATTGCACTAACAGACAGCAAGCCCCCAAACAAGCCGTTGTTCTTAGAGCATTTTATGGCTCCAGCCTCGCCCCCCGCAGCACCCCCACACCTGGGTGGGGGGCTGTGTGCACGTTTGCAAAGCAATAAGCTCCAGGGTGGCTGTCCTGGAGGGGGATTTTGCCAGCCGCCGCGGCTGTTTCTTTCCTGGTGGTGGTTTCTCCAGCTCCTGCCGCTGCCGGGGCCGTGCTCGGAGGAACCACGCGGGCGGCTGCTCTCCCCTGGAGCTGCTGCATCCCCAACTCCACTGGTACAGGGAACTGCAGCAGAAAATAAGCAAACGCAGACCTTTATGAAACAGATTAGTGAACATGGATACGCCGGCTGAAAGTGCCCAGGGTGGGAAACGTTGGCAGGATGAAGGGAGCTGCTGACTGCGGTGTTTCAAAGAGCCCGCAAGCCCGGGGGGACCTCAGCTCACCCGCCCCTTCTCTGTGGGAAGCCCTCAGTTCTGTTTTCTCATTTCCATTTCCTCTGTGTGCGATATCTTGGTGTTTTTCCTGCCCGTCTCCATGAGACAGGCTCCCTGCATGAGGGACATCTTCAGTTCCTGCTCCTGCCCGAAGAGCTTTGATGCCTGCTCCACGGCTGTGCAGGGCAGCTGGTGGGGAGGAAAGAGATGGGTCCTTATCCTCAGCGATGCTGTGTGCTTCACAAGGGATAACACCAGGCAGCACACGCACGGCTGCCCCGCAACACATCCCACTGTGGGTCCATCCACGCCTGCCGTCAGCAGAACAGATGCAGGAGCTCAGCCCACGTCTGCCCCGCTGCTGGCCTCGCTTCTCGCTCTCGCTGCTCCTGCCTTTCGCCCACCCCTGCCCAATGTGCATGACTCTGCAGAGTGGAAGATACTCGGGGGAAAGAGCAGCACAACCTATACAAAACACCTTCATTATAAGCTTAATTACACAGTGTCATTGAGGGAATGTCCACAGGCTGGGAGGGCTCACAGCCCTCGAGCAGCAGGAGCGGCTGAGCCCTGCCACGCGTGGGGCAGGTAGATATCGGAAGCAGTAGCTGGTGGAGAGGAGCTCTGTTCGTTCCCTCATCTGCCAAGAAGCTTCCTCCGAGATGGCTGTGAGACCTGTTGGTGGCTGATGCTGAGAATCGCTGCCCTCGGAGGTGCTACGTGCCCTTGGGAGGAGGCTGGGCCACGGAGCAGGGGGACAGGTTGTGCTTGGCTGAGCCCGGGCAGGTCGTGGGGTACCATGAGAAAAATGAGCACGTCCAAAAGCTCCTGAGCTGAACCACTGAACCAGTGCTGCACCGCTGTGACCTGGCATGGTGCCACCAAGGCCAGCCATGAGGGCAAAAGCGTGGGAAAGCCATCGAGGTGGGGAGAACCGCTGATCCCTGGTCCCAGCAGCGGTGACGCTGACACTGCCTGCGCTGGCAGAGCTTCCCAGTTGGCCAGGCAGAGGCAGCACCTCCTGGTCTGCGCAGGGCTCGGTTTGACACCAGCCAAGATTGTATTTTTGTAAAATGGCCATTTTTAAGCAGCAGCTGTAATCTAATTAAGGATCAATCAGGGAAGGCTGTATACGCTCAGCCAGACACAGCCGACGGCGGTGACAAGCCGCATGAGACAGAACATGTTTGCTGGCTCAGCTCTGGCAGCAGGCAAGGAGCCCCTCCACCATGAGCCGGTGGCATCGTCAAAAGCCAGCTGTACTGCAGCTATGTTTGCATCCACCTAAAGGTAGGGCTGTAAAATATCCATGGGATCGACGCACGTTCCACAGACACTGCAAATACCCGGGGTGCCACAGGTGACACTCCTGTCCCATAGGTTTGTGTCTATGGGGACCGGCCCGGCCGTGGCCAAGCCACCCCCGTGGACCCTCCTGGGCAGCCGTGTCGTGACAAGGGTCCCGTGACACCCGGGCAAATACGCTGCAATTATCCGTGCAGAATGGCATTGGAAGTCAGAGAAAGCCAAGTGCCTTTACCTACCCGCTACAAGCCCCAGCAGAAAGAACGGTGTGGATTATTGCTTAGAGAACAGTGCTCTCATTTTAAATTTCATTTAAAAACTATCCAATTTGGAGAGATTTTATGCCATACATCTCTCCGCTTTGAAAAGCATTGTGCAGCTGAGAATACACAAACAACAGGGAGAAGGTTATAAACACCTTTTCTCCTATCTGCATATTTTATTGTGCAAATTTCCCCCTCCCCCCAGTCCTATTCCAAACACTATTTTTAATTTGCATTCCGTTCTAAACCCCATATGGAGCACAGAGCATTTGCATAACGTCCAATACATTATAGATTAGCTTTCACAACATTATACAGTATTGGGAAATGAGGAGGCTTAACATGCTAATTAGGGTGCTTTATATTTTTTTAAAGCCAAGATTGCAGCTAATTGCACACACGCAACTGCCAAAAAAAGAAAAAAAAGTAGCAAACTAAAATTATCTTAACTAAACAGACGGGAATTAGCCTAAACTGGGGTTTTCACCATAGTTTGTCACAGCCCTGTTTGTCAGGTGGGGTACTGCAGTACCTCAGCCCGGGTAGGGAAGAGGCGATCTGCCCCATCCGTCTGTCCTGGCCCAAGGAGCAGAGCGGGGCGGCAGACAAGGGCCGAGGAGCCGCTGCACGCCTCAGGCCCACCGACCCTTTGCTGGCAGAACCGTTGCCGTGCTGGGTGCTGGGGGGGCTGTAAGCCATCCCGCCTGGCATGGGGCAGCCGGTACGAGATGGGCAGGTTGTGTCAGGGGGAGGAAAGTCTGATGTGAAGCAGTAGCTGGTGCTTGTCCTCCCCTTCCTTAGCCTGTCCTCCCTCCCCAGCACGCAGACGACCTGGGGGTTCGCCTGAGCTCCGCTACTTTGCTGACAGCACTGGGATGAGCAGCGCGTACCTGAGGGAAGAAGTCCTCTCAACCTGTTAGAAAAGGCACTCATTAGGGCTTCACAGATGGACCACAAAATACAGCTTGTTTGAGCAAAGTCCTAAGGAATGATTTGTCTGCTTCCAAGAAATGAATCCCGAGACCTCTTGATGCATGAGCTGCTCCCCAGTGCAGCAGGATCCAGGTGACCTGATGGGGGGAGAAGGCATGATGCCTCTGCAGCCCGGTCCAGCCCTTCACCCGCCGGGATGCAACGCAAGCTGGTGCGGGATGGGCTCCCAAATTCACGAGTTGTTAAACGCATTGAAAATTGAGCCTGGCTGCTGGTACGTTTTCCGATTGCTCATCTCTGAGTAGCTGTCTACCCTTGTTCAGTTTAACAGTCAGGCACAGTTTTGGCCAAGATTGTGATGGAGGTGCGGAAAGGCATGGCTGGATCGGGACATTTTTCTCTCCGAGCGCTCAGCAGTGCGCACTGAATGCAAATCCTCCGTACCATGCCTCGGCTTGCCCCAAAAATGCCCCTGCACAGCTCCAACAACGTGTCCACGCTGGCAAGTCGAAGGCTACCCAGTTGCAAAGCGTTTTGTTTGTTCTTACAGAGGGAAGCGCAGGGCTCTTCTGGGAGCGGGGGCTGTTGGCCGTAGGAGGAGGGTTTTCCATAGCTTGCCCTGGCACTGTTTGCTTGGGGAGGGGTTTAATTGCCTTAGCGGTGGAGGAACGGAGAGACTCACCCAGGTCCCGTGGGAAGGCTGTGTCCCAGTCACCCACCAGCCGGCTGCACTCCCCCCAAAACGGCTCAGAAGACCATTTGCTCAGTTTCTGGGTCTCTCTCAAAAGGCTTCCATTTTCTCATCTTTTTCCTGGGATAATTTTGTGCTTTCCAGCTGTTTTTTAATTAGGTTGCTGCTGTTGGGCCGTACAGGATATCCTATGAGGTCCTCAGCCCTTTCCCGGGTGGCTTCAGCTGTTTTTCCTCTGCCTTTAATTTATGTCGGGATTCTTTTTCATCTCCCCCCGCGTGGTTTCCAGCCTAGCTCTCTAGTAGTTTGGTTGCTTTTATCAAAGTAAAATGTTCAGAGGTTTGAGAGCTTGTGCTCTCTTGTTGTGTTCTGTGTGCCCAAGAAAAGGAGCTGAGGAAATTCGGACCGGGACATCAGCATTGCAGGTGTCGTAAGACATTCTTGTGCAGAAGCTTGAAGTATTTTTCTTCCTCACCATAACGGAAGGAATTTTTTTGTTTGCACCCTTGTGCTTTTCATCCAGGTGTAGTGGGTTTGGCTGAGCCAGGCTTAACCATGTGAGGCTGGATCTGCCGGGCAGGTTTAGCAAACCTCGCTAAGATATTTTTTGCTGGTATCTACAAATGATGGGAAGACTTGAGCCTAGAAAAATGGTACCAGGTGCCTGATACTGAACAGAATTGCCCCCAGTGGCAAATTAAGGCATTTGCTATGGCTGATTTATTTAAGGGAGGCATGACGTTAAGAAGCCCCGTGCCCATCTATTCTCACAGGCTTCACTCTGTCAGTCTGCTGCGAACATGATTTTACACCGGGGATAGAGGTGGATTTTCCTGCCGTTTCAGCTCCCACGAGTGGTTTCTCTGCTCCCCTGTTCGAAATGAAACATGGCACCATCCCAAAGGGAACCTCCCCTTCCCTTTGCCTTGTGGCCCCGGGGCTGCCTCCCTGCTGCATTCAGCCCCTCTTGGCTGGGGACACCAGCCCCAGAAGATCTGCTGCATCCCTGGGTGCTGGTGGCCCCAGGTG